TTCTTTTTCTTTATACTCACCCAGGCAACCGGTACGGATGTTTCTGTAGTATCTTATATACCTTCTTTATCACTCCTACTGATTCAGGCTCTTCTTGCTACATTGAGGGCTCTAAAAGCCAGTCTCCTCTTCTCCTGGGTTGAAGACAGGATGTTTTAAAATAAGTCTTTCTCTGTCCTGTGCCACACCTCAAAAGTTTAGTCATCAGCCTGTAATCCCAGCACTCTGAGAGGCCAAGGCAGGCAGATCACCTGAGCTCAGAAGTTCGAGACCAGACTGGCCAACATGGTGAAACCCTGTCTCTATTAAAAACACAAAAATTAGCCAGGCGTGGTGACAAGTGCCTGCAATTCCAGCTACTGGGGAGGCTGAGGCAGGAGAATCGCTTGAACCCAAGAGGTGGAGGTTGCAGTGAGCCGAGATCGCACCACTGCACTCCAGCCTGGGCAACAGAGCAAGACTCTGTCTCAATTAAAAAAAAAAAAAAAAAAAAGCCAAGTCACCCTTCAGACAGTGTAAGTAGGGCAAAGATTATGAACTTTGGTGAGGTCAGGGTGACAGATGTTAAAGTTAATGCTCTGCCACCGTGGGCAAGATTATGTATAAAGTATATACAACAACATCCAACAATTCGATGTATTATGAGAGCACTCTTTTGTGGGGAGGGAAGTCACACTAGCAGTTAAGGATTTCTCATCTGGCCTTAAATCAAGACTTTCCAGTAATTCCCCTGTTTTCTCATTAATGTCACCAAGGACCTGATGTGGCATTACCTTGCTAATTTAAAAAAAAAAAAAAAAATCCCAAACTCTGTTATTCTTACATTGAACTATACATAAAGAAATGGAAGTAGCACTAAAACTGAGCTAAGTTTAGGCTAGGCACAGTGGCTCACACCTGTAATCCCAGCACTCTGGAAGGCTGAGGCAGGTGATCCTGAGGTCAGGAGTTCAAGACACCAGCCTGGCCAACATGGTGAAACCCCATCTCCACTAAAAATACAAAAATTAGCTGGGCGTGGTGGTGCGCACCTGTAGTTCCAGCTACTCAGGGGCTGAGGCAGGAGAATGGCTTGAACCCAGGAGCTAGAGGCTGCAGTGAGCCAAGATTGCACCACTGCACTCCAGCCTGGGCGGCAAAGCAAGACTCTGTCTCAAAAACAAAAAAACAAAAACAAAACTCAGCTAAGTTTAAACTGGTAGAATAGAGTCTGGAAGAAAATAAATTAGTAAGTAAACATTTCCTTGCTAAACAACTGCAAGGGAAAAACCAGGATATAGTTTTACATTTGGGACAAATATTAACCAATATACTTTGAGAGGGGCACTTAAAAATACTCTTTTCAGGATAAGAAATATTAAGGCGATATATTCTCTAAGAGTAAGTTTCTATATAATCTAACTTAGTTTAGGCTTAAGTTGTACGAAATACCATTTGTATTAGGTTGATAACCAATTTAGTTTATTAGGAATGGTACTATATAAAAGATATATGCTGATGGAAAGCACATTTGATACCTCAAAAGACAATGCTGACAACGCCACTTTTGCAGTGTGCTTACAAAGGAACAAAAAACAAAACAAACCCCAAAGGCCATTTCTTTCTCAAATAAGAAATACAAATGCAGGATAAACTTCAGTGCTTGCAGCAAAAGTAGGCATTAAAGAAAAATGCTATAAAATATATTTCTTAAAAATATGCAGCGCAGTTTTTTTTTTCTTCCCACCTTTTTGGGGCAGAACTATCTCTGGGCCATCAGCAGTCTTCTCTCTTGCCTGGAGCCTCCCTAACCTTCCATATCTTATCCAAATTGTTGATCAAAAGAGCTCTTTAAAAAGAGTTTAAAAGCCAGTATTTACAGTTTATAGACTCTACAGTTAATCTTATCAATCTCTAAAAAACCTTGTACACATGAATGCCTATCAAGTGTCAAGCACTAGGCTGGGTTATCAACGTAAAGAATGACACATTTACTTGGGAGTAGGGATTCTGTCGAGTTTAAAGAGGCAAAGAAAAGGCTCCAATTGTGTTATCCAGAAGTGAGAAAGATGCACTCCTGGTAGTAGGACAAAAGCACAAAGGTATGAGATGGCAAAGTACTTTTGAGATGGCGTGCATTTTAATTGTAGCACATCAGAAGATATGCTATGTGAACCTAGTAAGCTTATTGCAATTGCAATGTTCCAAAGTTAAGAGACAATGATTTCAACAAAAATAAGGAAAAGAAGGTTGGGGTGTAATTTACTCAAATAATCTTTGTGAGGGGATAGGGGAAGAAATTTTTGAGGAAACAAGTACCAAGCTTAGTATTTTCATTTAGCTCAGAAAGCCTGCAGTCCCCAGTAAACTTTTACATTGCCTACCTATAGCTCTGAAGCTGGCAGAGCTAAGATGGAGGTGAAAATTGGAGAGGTATTGGAACATAATAGGCCCAAATGAAATTGCCCAGGCATAATACACGAACGTATGAAGGCAGTCAAAGAAAAGTAATTCCAAGTATGAACAGTATTTAAAATGCCATGGGAAAGTCAAGAAAAATTGAGAGCTCAAGAAGTTCGTGGATTTGGCAATTAGGAACAAGGAAGGTACACTCTGATTAAAGGCACAAAACAAGGAAAGGGTGTTTCCACTCGCTTGGAAAATGGCCTCTTTTCCTTATTAAGGCACGGTGAAAGTAGAAACATTCTGAAAATTACCTTAAAATCTACTGACTTCATATTTAGTTCCTTTTTTAAGCAGGAATAAAAACTGCTATAAAGGAAGGGGAGACATCTTACACGTAACAAAGTAACCCTTGAAGACATTCAAGAGTTCTTAATGCTTTCTATTCAGAGTGGACCTAATTACATTCTTTGTACTAATTATTTATAGTTCATCCACATTCAGTTGCTTAATAACTGAAAAAGGAAATCCACAAAAACTAGTGAGGATGTAAAGATACACAAACAAATTAAAAACCCAATCTTGTTTTCAAACTACCAAGAGCCTACAACTAAGCCTTAAGGATCTGAAATAGCACAACCTTGACCTCAGGTTCTTTTCAGGTCCAGCAATCATTTTCTCCTAGCACCAAGCATAAGTGCTCCATCAAGAAGTAGGCCAGATTTTAGCTGCAAATGTGTTTGTTGAGTAACTCCCCACCCTCTACACCACCCAAAAGGAGAAGCCCTGTAAAAATTTTTGCTAGTTTTGACTACTATAGTTTAGCCAAGTGGGAAAAACAAAAAACATATTCTACCTTACTGAATATGCCAAAATAGCCCTTACAAACTGCTGGATATTTTCTCCTATCGAGGTTTCAAAAGCTAAAAGTATAGTTTTTACTACTACAAAAGTGCTTCAAATGTCATAATGATGCAGGAATCTTAAGGAATAATATTCACCGGAATTGCTTATAATTGCATCTTTTATTTTTAAAAACTACAAAAGGGCAACAGAAAGAAAACACACTAAAAGTACTGAAAAGTCTTACAACTTCATACAGTTTAAAACACGACTTTTATTCTGTATTACTAACGCCTAATGCCAAAAATAAAAAATAAAAAGTAAAAAGCAGGCCTGGGGCAGTGGCTCAGGCCTATAATCCCAGCACTTTCGGAAGCTAAGGCGGGAGGATCTCGACAGTTTGAGACCAGCCTGGCCAATATGGTGAAACCTCGTCTCTACTAAAAATAAAAAAATCAGCCGGGTGTGGTTGTGGGCGCCTGTAATCCCAGCTACTTGGGAGGCTGAGGCAGGAGAATCGCTTCAACCCGGGGAGGCAGAGGTTGCAGTGAGCCTAGATCGCGCCACTGCACTCCAGCCTGGGCACAACAGAGCGAGACTCCGTCTCAAAAATAAAAAATAAAAATAAATAAAAAAAGCAAATTCCACCGACAAAACTATATTCTTAAGGGATGTACAGATAGGAAACTGGAATAAAGAACAGGAAGTACAGAAGGAACAGTCTGAAAAGGACCCTTGAATTCAGATGGCTGCTTGTGCCGTTTAAAAGCAATTGAAGTGTTCCTGGGTGTTATTTACACCTTTACATTTGTTTCTAAACTTTGGAAATACTTTTCTATTTCAATCTGAGAAACTGTTTCCTCAGAAATTAATCGATCCTCCTTGACGTTGTACCCCCAGAAGCTAATTTACCCCTCACTAGGCCTCGCAGTGACCCTCAAGGACTCATAGTTGATTCCGAGTCCCACGTCAGAGAACTACCACCTTACATAAGTATACTTTGCGGGGAGAAAGGCAGATAAGAAAACAGGGCGCCAAACCTTCTCCACCAACAGCCGTCACACCCCACGAGGAGTGTCCTGCGGGGGCTTTCCCCTGGGAGCCGCAGCTGTTCTGCCGTATGGGGGAGGGGAACGCTTTCCAACAGTCATCTCTTCCTCTTCGGGCCGCCAACGCCGACCGCACCACAGTCTCCTCCGCCCAAGCCCTGTCCCCTCCCCCGCCCCGGCCTGGGTCGGAGCCAAACCCCACAGGAATGCAGCCCGGTCACATGCGCTGCGGCGGTGGACGTGCCTCTCCCCCCGCGCCCCAAGGAGACCCAGCGCCATCTTGCCCTGACGCAGTTACAAAAGTCACGGGAGAAATCCTGTCTCCTCCTCCGCGCCAGCGCCCCAAAGTTTCGCAGAGGCCGAGCCGGGGCCCTCACCTCGCGCAGGGACAGGAGAAAATGGTCAGGGAAGAGCCTTGCGATTCCCTTCGCCACTGCTTGGGTTCCACATCGGCCGCGGCAACAACGATCGCCATCGTCACTTCTCCCTCTCTACCTTTGCAACAGCCTCCCCCTACAGCTTTGGCCCCACCCGCTGCTGCAGGATGAGGTCATCGCCAGCCAACCACGACGCGCCCGACAGGACATATCAGGCGCCGATTGGCTGCCGAGACCACCTCTGCCTCTCCCCACTCCGCTCCCCCCCGCGCTCCGGGTCGCTGCGGGGCAAGGAGAAGACGCAAACCATTTCGGGGAAAGACCCCGAAAACAAGAGCCGGAATCGCCGTGTCATTTTAGTGGGGAAACCCTTTTATTCTTTGGTCTCCCCTTTTTTCTTCGAGATCACTGTCTCTCTGTCCCTCCCTCGTTTAATCACCGCCACATAAAGGAATTCCCACTCCCCTCCCCGCACATTGTCCCACCGGTGGGGAAATCCTTCCCCGAGGCCAAGAGAAGTATAGGAGGCAGCGACGGCAACTGCACCGACGGCAACGGCAGCTTTTTACCCCGAAACACGGTGGCAGGGAGGCGGCGTTGACGGTGGCTGCATTTTTCCTGCTGCTTCTCCCCCCGACCTCTTCCGTTTCTTGCTCCTCCATCGAGACAGCGCGGGACTCGCCAGCTCCGCTTTTATCCGGTGCCCGGAGCCTGCGCACTGGAGCCTCCTCAGCCCCTAGTGGGCGTCGAGTGACACCCCAACCGGGTTCACCCAGCGCCGGAGGCCAGACTGGGCTGGGGGAGGAGGGGGAGAGGGACGGGGAGACGGGACTGGGGTTGTTTGGGAGGAGGAGAAAGTGTATCGCTTTCGAAGGGTGACGGGAGGGAGTTCGTTCCCAGGCCCTGCTGTCCTTGTCCGTGCACCCAATACTGGCATGCCAAGCTCACCTATATCCAGATTTGAGGGCCACTGGGGGAAAGGGGGAAAGAACCAGTCCCACCGAACATCGACACTTCCTCAAACCTTCGGTGGATTGTTGAATGCATCTGTTGTCAGAAATACAGAGACTCCGTCCCCCTCACCGCCTCCAGTTTGCTATCTTCGAGCCTCCGCTGAGAGGCAACGGCGGGTTGCAGCCCACAAGCAAAATGGCGCCGGGCAGCTTCATCCCCTCCCCCTCTGCCCCTGCGGAGCGGGACGGGCGGGCCCCGTGCACTTGCCGCCGCCGCCGCCGCGGCCGCCGCCGCGGCCGCCGCCGCCGTCGCCGCCATTTTCCCAGAGCGAGAGGCAGTGACACTGAGCGGGCGCAGGGGGCCGAGTCGGAGACCGTGCCGGAGTTCGGGAGCGGCAACAGAGTGGGCATAGACACTCCGAGCAGCCTCGCCGTCGCCTCTGCGTTCCTGTTGACTGCCTGGGTGCCCCCTCCCCTACTCGGTTCCTGGTGAAGAGGCTGCGCGCTGCTGTTTGGGGAGGGGGTGTGTGGAGCCGGGTCCTGTGTCCGCAGTGGCTGCTGTCGGGGGGTCGCCTGTTTGCGGAGGTGCGGAGAGACTCCTTGGGGGTCTAGCACATAACGGAGTTCGGGTGTCTCGTGTGTGAACATCACAGGTCAGTGCCTGTCGTCTCCGTGGGAGTTCCTGGGGCTTGCAGGGTTGGGGGACTTGTGTTTGAAGGGGGAGGGAGGTCTCTCATCTTTATCCTTAAGCTGGGGAGTAGACGTTGACTCTCAGGTGTCTTTGCCGGCGCAAGACGTTGCTTGCTTAAATCCAATGTATCCTTTCTTTTCCCTGACCCTAGAAATGGAGCATTATGGCGGGTTTTAGGATTGGGGAAGGGGAAACTGGCAGTTAAACCCCCTTGAGAGTGGGAGTTAGGGAGGGGGCGCACTCCTCATTGGCAGCGGGTTAAGGCCGCTTGAGTGAAGAGGGAGGCTTGTGACTGTTAGTAGGGTTTGTGTCGAAGTGGTCCCAGGAGCTGCCACCGCTCCCTTTTCTCAACCGTGTCTTGTTCAGGTGCTGAAAAGCCATATAGGCCCCATTTTCTTCTTCCATTTCTTGATGGACAGTCTCTGGTATAATGTGCACATGAATACGAAGGGGGTAAGAAGAACGCCCTGGGCATCTCTCTTTGTGGGAAAGCGAGACAGCTAGCTCCTCATCCTCTACTGGAGAGGGTGAACCCGCCCCTGAGGTGGTCACCCCAGTACCCAGCCTTCTGAGTCTCCTCCCCCACTCGTTTTGCATTACCGCCGTGCTTTACTGTGCCGGAGCCTTAGGATCTACAATATGGCTCATTTCAGAAAAGCTTATTTTGACCAAGGGATTGGCACAGACTCTGTGGCAGCAGACACAGATGAGAAACAAACGGTTCACTGTGCTAAACGAGGTGGGGGTGAGAAAAAACAATCCAGAGTGCTCTCTTCTACTGGCCTTAGTTCCGTATAGATCCGTCCTTGCTGGGCTCTGTCTTAAGAATGATACAATTTAAAGTCAAAGAGAAATCGCTAGAGTTAGTTCTAGAGTAAACCTCGTTTTGCCTATTTTGTTCCCTTTTTAGAGATGTGAATAAGGTAAGGTGTTTGGAGTTCTGGAGACCTTGGAGAGAATTAAGTGAGGTGCATTCAACTCTAGGCTGGAGACACGAATACCTATTTGGAAAATAGTCTGTTTTTTCCTTCAATTTCTGAGATGGGGAGTAAAAACTGAAATTTCCCTCTTTTGTCCTTTACAGATTCTAAAAATGGCGGCCCCAGGCTGATGTTGTGGTAATCTAATCAGCTCGGGTCCTCCACACCCCATGCAGTGCGTTTGTCTGCAGCATATTACAGGCTTATTATGTTTACATGAAAAGACAGGGCTTTTTTTTCCTTACCCGAGCCAGTTACCAAAATGTGTTGATTTTTTACTGCAAATTACAATGCTGTGTTTTAGTTGATTAATTTGATTCGTTTTTCCTGAAAGGCAAATAAAATGTCTCCACTTTTGAAAAAAAAAAAAAAACAGGCTTGCAAATTTCAGTGGTGATGATAGGTGCGCTTCAACATTAAAAAAAATTATTTTGGTACCAATAATAGTTTTTGTTTGGTTTAATCCAGCCATGTTTTATTCAGTATGCCAAAGTAGATTAAAATGTTTAATAAGTGTATAAGTACAATCTATTTTGTATGATTAAATGTTTCAATCTAGAGTAAGACATTTCCCAACCACTTCTTGACCCATTTTGTGGATTTTGGTTTTTGTATGCTGTTTCAGCTTAAATTTTAGGGAGCTGTACAAACAAGCCTAAACCTGTTACTTCATTGGGTGTAGAGATGCCATTATATTTTGCCATCCATTTTTCCCATGTATTTAAGCTTTCCTTAAGAATTTTCAAAGTTGATTGTGTATTTGGTAAAGTGAAGCTCCGTGCTGCCTTTTAACAATCGTCTTACAGCATACTATCATCATTATGTAAGTTTAAGGCTCCGATTCTTGATTTTTTTTCCTCTTCAAATATGCCCATTTACCTATTATAGGATTGTGGAATTTAGTCTGTTTTAATAGACCATAAATAAAAACATTACCATAATAGGGTCTTGAATCCATTTTATGCTCTTTTCAGAATCTTACAGACTGAGACTGAAAATTAAATGGTGTCAAGTGTTATTTAACTATTTTTTAAAGTGTGAAAGATTAGAATTCACTTTCGTAGTGGGAGTTCTATCTTTTTGGGTGGAACTAAGCAGTGAGATATGAGTGGGCCATTAATGACATTTAATGACCATTCTGATTGTGAAGCAACGGAAAGATGAGTGCCTTTCAATCTAGTAGTACTTAAAAAGGTTGGAGAGTATACACTGTTTCATGATTCTTTTATTCCATTGTAAATATTTTAGAGCAGCATTTACTTCATATGGTGACTGTATCAACTAGGTTGATGATAAGGTTCTAGCCTACGAAATAATTAGAGAAGTAACTGGCTTAGGGATTTTCTACATACCAGTGAGCTTCATCATGGAAGACTGAGCACACAACCTTACTTAGAATATTTGAAATATTTTATTATAAAGTGAAATGTTGGTGGGTAGTGGGCGAGTTTGTATAGGAATTTGAGGTCAGTACTCATTTGTATTTTGATATGAGCAAGTATATCAGTCCAGATTCTTCACTGCTGTGTGAAGATTGTGCATGATTAAGGTCTGTGGTTCAGAAGCTTGGTACTTTAAACTTACTATTCAGTATACAAAGTCAGTGTATTTTTATAAATTTGATTTGTGTGGCCGTAGGAGGGAACAGTGTGCCCAATGTTTTTCTTCGTAGAGACCTTGGTCAGGTCTAGACAGACAAAGCAGTTGAACTTATTTGGCTTCAAATGAAAAATACCAAGTTAGAAATTATAGGAAAAGCTGTCTTCAGTTTACTAGCTTTCTTCGTATTGGCTTGCTTTATTGCTTTAGGTTTTGTTTGTTTCTTTTTGGTGGTGGTGGTGGGTGTTTTTATTTTTATTTTTATTTTTGATGTTTTAGTTCCTGTAAAATGAGACTGGCTTTTTTTTTTTTTTTAAATATTGTACCTTATTTTGAATGGTTACTTTATAAATAACAACGCTATAATTGTTTGTTTTTTGTTAATTTACTATGTATGTTTTAAGTTAGGATTGTCTAGGCAAATTTATTAAAAGGTTAGGCATAATTTTTGTTCCCAGAGAGTTTTGAAAGAATTTGGTCCCTTGGGGGAAGCTAGTCAAATAGTCTTTGTTCTAGGATAGCTGAGTTTGAAGGATTAGTTGTTTATCTGTTTAAGTGGATTTGTAGAAAACTATAATGTAATTGGAGAGTAAGTTTTATTTTTAGAGCCTACATTTTGATCATATATCCTTTCGTTGTCAGTGTAAATAAAAGGATCTCTCTGATCCCAGTTTAAGTGTAGAGCCTTGACAGGTCTCCATTTCCCATCAACTCTGTAGGACTAATAACTGCCCTACAATTTTGGCTTGTCTGACTTCCTCACAGCTTCCAGCGAGAAATCTTTGCCATATATGCCCCCAGTAAACTTTAGGACTTCTTGAATCTATTGAGGAAGTAAAGAGAAAAGCTAATTAATAGGAGAAAAATTTCCCCTTAGTATATACCTTAGTGGTCTTAGGGAAATAATAATTTCTTAAATTGGCTTCTTAATTTCCAAGAATAATGTACTCATTTTCACTAATCAATCTCCTAAAGAAACCTGTGGTTTAATTTTTAAAGGTGTGTTTTATGTAAACCCTAACAACTCTGCATTTCTGGAAGCTACTATTAGGACTTAAATGTGTACAACCATACTGTGCTTAAAATGTATAAAACCAACAGAACTTTGAAGAGCTATCAAAACTGGTTGGGAAATACTAGTATGCAGTTTTCTCAACAGATGCTATTTTATGTTTACTATTTAAAAAATATTTTAATAATGTATAAAAACTTTTATCTCCAAAGGATTTATTTTTAGCAGATGGTAGGTGCTTAATTATTTCTTGGATGTGAATCTTTTGTTGAAGCAAACACATTTACATCTCAAATACGTAGGGTGATCAGGGACTGTTCCCAGTTATGTGTTAGAATAAATGTTAAATACTTGTATTCTGTGAGACTTTTTTCCCCCAATTTCATGATAATTTATGAGACTTTTTAATATTGAAAATATAATTATTTTTACTTTATGGTAAAATTGCTTTTTGTGTTGACTGGCAAATTAACAGGAATACTATTTGAAATATTACTCTATGAATGTTACTGGCTTTTAGGCTGGGTTTAAAATTGAAGTGGCTCGTATTTGCTACCTGTTTTGTAATGTGCAAAAGTTGGGGGGAGCCTTATTTTTTTCTTGACATTGACAGGATAATTTTTTGTATTACCTACAAATTTACTTAATATGGAGGAATAATATTTGTTGTTTTCTACACTAAATTAGAAGTGGATGGTATTTAACTAAAAATCTTGCAATTGCTATTAAACATTTTACTTTATATAAAAAAGGTGTATTTTACTTTATATAAAATAAATATGAGTATTTTATTTTGTATAATATAAAATGAGTATTTTACTTTATATAAAATACTCATTGTTTAATAGCAATTGCAAGATTTTTAATAGCAGTTGCAAGAGATAGGAATTAACCATATTATGATGCAAATTGCTTTTTGTTATTGTGAACTTCCATGCTAAGTGCTACATTAAAAATCAAATGAAGGTGACCCAGACTAAGTTAATTAGATCTTAATTCAAATCTTTAAGGATAAAAGAAGTTTTTATTAACCATTGGTAACTAGGATGCCTTTTACTTAAGTCAGAGTCAGGAAAAGCAGTTGGTCTTATATTTCACTAGATAACATGTTTTCACTTGATATGAAGTCAATTCTTTTTTTCCCTCATGAACAGCTCATAATTGGATTTTATTTTTGGACAGAAAAACTTTTTTTATTGTTAGGTGAATTTTACAGTTTTATTGGAAATCTTATTTGGTTATTTACCAAAACTATTTAAGCTTTTTGGGATGTTGGACATTTTCAATGCAACAGGTCAACAAGGAATTCTTTTTTGATGTGTTGCGTTAAGATGCCATTAAAACAGACATTATAGCTTTTAATGAGTAAATAATTAACCTGTAATGTAAATTAATGTGTAAACTACTTGTTCATTTTTAATTAAAATATTTTGTATTTCAAAACTTTGAAACATGAAATCTGGGTTTAGAAAGGATCTGCATGCAGGTCAACGTGATAAGCAATGATCTATGTAGCTTTATTTTTACAACACTTGGACAGAGAGATAATTTCTTAGCAACTCTTAGGTTGCTTAGAGTTAATCCAAAGGAAGAAACAGTCCTTCAGAAGACTAGGACGTATCAGATATTAATTATTAAAAATAGGCTGGGCACAGCGGCTCATACCTGTAATTTCACTACTTTGGGAGGCCGAGGCAGGCGGATCATTTGAGGTCAGGAGTTTGAGACCAGCCTGGCCAACATGGTGAAACCCCATCTCTACTAAAAATTACAAAAATTAGCCGGGCGTGGTGGCAGGTGCCTGTAATCTTACCTACTCAGGAGGGCAAGGCAGGAGAATTGCTTGAACTCAGGAGGCAGAGGTTGCAGTGAGCCAAGATTTTGCCACTGTGCTTCAGTCTGGGCGATAGGGTGAGACTCTCTTTCAAAAAAAAGTAAATTAAAAACAAAAAATTCTTGGTCCTGAATTTTAGTATTGAGAAAGATGATTTTGAGTAATCACACCGGTGTAATAGCCAACTTGGTTGCAGCATTTAAGGTCATGCCTGTCTAGCATACGATAATGGATTGAGTTAGTTTTGGTTTGCGGTACTTACAACTTTAAAGTTCACCTGGCCGGGCATGGTGGCTCACGCTTGTAATCCCAGCACTTTGGGAGGCTGAGGCAGGTGGATCACCTGAGCTCAGGAGTTCAAGACCAGCCTGGCCAACATAGGGAAACCCTATCTCTGCTACAAAAATTAGCTGGGCTTGGTGGCGGGTGCCTGTAATCCCAGTTACTTGGGAGGCTAAGGCAGGAGAATCGCTTGGACGTGGGAGGCGGAGGTTACAGTGAGCCAAGATTGTGCCAGTGCACAGCCTGGGCGACAAGAGCGAAACTGCATCTCTAAAAAAATAAATAGAGTTCGTGTAATTATGTTGTCTCATGTTTTATCTGAGACCAAAAATGTTTGAATTTTTTCATTTATCTTGACTTTTGTTTTCATAGGGTATTTAAAATAATTTCCATTTAAAGTCTTAAAAATTTACACTTACAAATTATTTTAAACTTATTTTAGTTGAATAAGTTTAAACTTAAAGATTAAATATGTTTTCCTGTTCTCTTTACTGTTTGGTCTAAGATGAAGCCTAGTGTCAGTGGGTTTTAGTAAAAAGTGAGGAATATGGTGAAAAGAATTAACCATTACCACTTCGGATACTGTGAGGAAAACATAATTTGGGTCTTTCAGAGGTTCCACATGTAAGGAGAATGTGTATGAGAAAGATACACTTTTCTAATATTTTTGTTTTCTTATTTCACAGACTAATATATGTAATTGTTTCTATTTTTGAGTTTACAGAGAGATAATCTTGAGTTCCTCTTATCATCTTGCTTTATATAACATTTAAAGAAAGCGTTCAGGAATTTGAAAACCCCATTTCCTCTTTAATGAAGTGGCTGAGATGGGAAGATTCATGATGTGACTAATTGGAATGGTTAGGACTGTGGTCCAGTAGCCATAAATAGGGGTCTGAGGTTGGTCTGATACATAGTAACTCTTACCCAGAAAATAAGTCTCTACTTCTTCTCTTTCAATGAAGCTGCTTAATTGGTTGCCTTGACACAGTCTTATTACATCTTACATCATTAAGCCTTCACTGTAACAATATTTTTGAAGCACAGACAAAAGATGAATTTGAGTAGCTATTATTTTCCTGGCACCACAGATACAGAGAGAGATAAGACTGTCCCTGCTTTGAGAGAACCCGTAGTTTATTTCACCTTCTTAAAAGCCTGCTGTCTTAGAGTTTTTTGGATGCAAGGAACAGAAATCAGCTCTAGCTAGCTTAAATAAAGGATTTGTTATAAGGCTATAGGGAAATCTCACATAATTTA